GGTGAAATCTCCTAGGTCCTTTGTGGCTCCAGAAGTGCCTTCTGGAAGTGAAGGACTAGAGTCAAAAACTTTAGAAATCTTCTTGGTATTCTGTTGCATTGTGGCTGAGCTGGCACTCAAACTAAAAGATGCAGTTCTTCTCACTCTTTCCTCTCCTTTTCAAAAGCAGAGGAACTGCACCCCTTAGCCACTGCCACCCCTGGCCTTGAGGAGTACTACCAGATTACCACTGATGTTTCCTTAAGGCCCAAGGTCTGTTAAGTTATCTTGTGGTGAATGCTGCCTGGCCTGGAGCTTACCCTTCAGGCCAGTGGGCTACTCTCTGGCCCAGGGCAGGTCCAGTAATGCCATCCAAGAGTCAAGTTCTGGCATTGGGGATCCTAAGAGTATGCTTGGTGCTCTAGCCTTCTTTGGTGGTGCTGGTACCTAAGGTGCAAGAAAAAGTCCCCTTTACTTTTCCCTCTGCTTTTCATAAGTGGAAGGAGTTTTTCTCTATAGCCACCACAGCTGGTAATGCGCTGAGTCTCACCTGAAGCCCACAAGTCTCAGAGGCTCACTAAGGCCCTCAGTGTATTACCTGGATATCACTGCTGATTATTCAGGGCCTAGGGGCTTTACAGTTAGCAGGTGATAAATGCTGGCACGACTGGATCCTTTCCTTCAAGGCAGCAGTTTCCCTTATGGCCCAGGGTATGTCTAGAAATGTTGTCTGGGAACTAGGTGTCTATCTGTATTATTATAATGGTATTCCTGACACTGGGTGAATTATAACAAGCAGAAATTAATTGGTTCACCATTCTGGAGGTTGGGAAGTCCAATATCAAGGACTGCAGCCTGGGGTTACGAAAGGAGTGATGTCAGCATTTTCTTGGCTGGCCCTAGCTGGTGCCTCAATATGTCATCCCTCCCCCCACCGACTCCAGTCCACTGTCTTTGGGACTGTTTCAGCCATAGGACTCACCTACAATTTGCAGGCTTTGTGGCCAAGACTGCCTTTCAAGTTTACTTGAAGGCCAAGAGTACTTTGGCCCTAGGTGGTGAGGTTCAGGGGCACCCAAGTTTGCACCACTAAGATGGGCAATTCCCCTCTGAGTAGGGCTATTTTAAATGTTCCCTTTGTGGGTGGGTTTCAGCAGAGTTTGGTCTAGTTTTCCTTTCTGCTCTAACAGAACAGCACTGAGTTCAATTCCTCACAATTGCTGTGCTCTCCCTCTCATATCACCCAGAGGTGCTCTCTGGTGCTGCCAGGGGTGGGGTAGGGGTGACATCAGGGGCTCAGGGCTGTTTTTTCTATCTTTTCAGTGCCTCTTTGAGTGGTACAAAGTTGAAACCAAGTACCGTGAGTGCTCACCCTATTTTGGTTGTTATGAAGGTGTGTGTGTGTGCAGATGTTACTTTGGTGTCCTTGCAGGAGGGTGGGGAGCAATCAGTGGAGTTTTCTATTCTACTATCTTGCTCTGCCTCCCTATGAGTTTATTTTTGTTATTATATTTTAAATTTAAAAATTCTTGTTGATTCTTTATTTTCTGCTTTTTTTTTTTGGTCAAGACTTGCTATTTTTTCCTTCAGGGTTTTTTTTTTTTTTTTTTTTTTTTTGTATTCAAGTATGTTCATAACTTCTCATTAAATTTTTTTAATGATAGCTGCTTTGAAATCCTTGTTAGATAATTATGGTATCTGTATTGTAATAGTTTGGGCTGCTATACTAAACTACATAAACTGAGTGGCTTATAAACAACATAAATTTATTTCCCACAGTTCTGGGGACTATAAATCCTAGGTCAGGGTTCCAGCATGGTTGGATATCGGTGAAGACCTTCTTCTATGCTGTAGAATGCTGGCTTTTTATTTTATCCTCAAATGGTAGAAGGAGAACTAGAGAGCTCTCTGGGGTCTCTTTCATAAGGGCCCTGTTGTAGTCTGTGTTATTATAACAGTATATGTGAGACTAGGCAATTTATCATAAACAGAAATTAACTGGCTTTCTGTTTCGGAGGTTGGGGAGTCCAGTATCAAAGTGCCACATCTGGTAAGAGCTTCTAATGACATCATCATGTGATGGAAGGCAAGATGGCAAAATAAGTCAAGAGGAGGCCAAATGTTCCTTATTTTGCTTTTGCTGGTGGGTGCATGATGGGGGAATTTTTTTTTTTTTCTGTGAAGTTTGGCTAAGTAAGAGTGGCCTGAAAGTTTTCATTCTTGCTGTGCTTCCTTTTTCCTGGATCTTTGGATGGAGGAAGCAGGCTTTTACCTTCCTGCCTCCTTCCCTCTCTCCCTCACTCTGTTGATTGGCATTTCAGTGTTGATATTTCCAGGTAGCTGGCTTTTTTATCACCCTATCTGGGATATAGAGGATAAAAAGAATATCTATAGAACTCACTGATGTATCTTTTCAGGTTCCAGTTCCTTAACAAGTTTGCTTTCTCTCCACTTATAGAGTCTTCTTATCTGCTTGATAATATAATATGCAGGGTTTTTAGCTATACCTGAAAAAATGGGTCAATGGTCAATTGTCTCATTTTCTGCAGTGTTATCTGAGCTTGTTGTCTCATGACCAAGATCATTAAGGAGCATGTACACAAAGGGTGTGGTTGGAGTGAAAGTTTAATAAGTAAACGAAGAAAGCTCTCTGTAGCGGGGGGTAGGGGGACAAGTCAGTTGCTGCTTTTACAGTTGAATTAAAAAACTTTTATAAGAAACTCCTCTCATCTTTGTAGCTGTTTGTGTAACTTCTCATATCTGTAAAGCTGTCTTGGCAACTATCCTTATCTAGGCAGCTGTAGGCATATTTTGAGTAAGCAGAAAGTACAGCTTCTCTTGTCTGTGTAACTGTGGGTTTGTTTCAGGTAAGGTCCCCCACTCCCTGTGCAAGTTCCCCTGGAACCCACCATGTAAATGTCTGAGAAGTGAAGAAAACTTTTTCCTGTGAGCCTGCTAATCACACAAAGAACAAAAGTCTTTTATGCTGGATTTTACTTCATCTGTGTAGCTGAAGCCTGAGGTTTCCCCAGGCTGCTCTATTTGTGTCTGTAGCTGTGATTTTCCAGGTTGTCTTTCTATTTAAAATAATTTTGCCAAAGACCAGCTTTAACCATCTGCCCAACTGTGTTTTCCCTTTTAGCCTCCCTCATTACTGGGAGGGACAGGGAATGTATGTCGACTACATGTTTCTGGAAGTGGAGGTCTGACTCAGTTACCCAAAACATTATTTTCTAGCTATGTCCATTGAAAAACCTTCTAGGTAATAACCCCTCAAGAATAATGAGTATTTTTAGTGCCAGAATCTTGGTTTATGGGTGCCATTATCCATCAAAATGAATCTGATTACTCTGAGAAATTTCTAAGTCTGAAGCAGAGAAACTTCAAGGTGACTCTGAAAAATCCTGCTGTGGTACAAAGCAAGGAAGTGTTCGGTGTCTGATGTGGGCATATAAAATGGATGTAGGAGTTATATTGAAGAACTGGCAAATTGCCAAATATGGTACAACTAGAGCATTGTTGGGGAAAAATGTAATGGACTATTGAATAAAAACAAAAATCTATGAGTCCATATTGATTCTTGTGAGGGAAAGGAAACAATGGCCAGGTAATAAACTTAGAAGGAAGAATAGAATTAGAAGATAATCAATTGCAGCTAAAGAAACAAACAAAGAAATAAACAAAGAAAAACTTGATGATATATTTAAAAGAGGTAAGAATTTAATGTGTCAGTTGCCACAGTGTTAGGTATAGATAGTTTTAGTGGCATGTTCTTTAAAACATTGCAGAAAGATATAATTTATATACTAATATGATTATTCTAGAACATAGTGAAAATATGCAACTTATTTTTAATTAGTGCCCTAATATTAACTTAGCAACATTTATTTGCTCAACTATTGCAAAGCACACACATATAAGCAATAGGTCCAGCTTTTTGAATGCTATAAACTTCTAAACAAAATCTTACTATTAATTTTGACAATATTAATAGAATTTACCCCTTTGATCAATGAATGTAATAATAGTTTAATAGTAAGCAATGTGTTAATAAAATGTATTGCATCAATAAGTCAAAAGATAAAAATGATTATCATTTTGGTCTGTTTCCAAAAGACAGTTTATAAAAATTAAACTCCATTTTGATATAAACTAGTTATAGGAAGATTTGTAAATAGGTGTTTTTCAGCATGATCTAGAATACTCATCTAAAACTGATCGACCACCTCTTAATGAAAAAATATTTGAGATTTCCCAGTGAAATATTGGAAGCCATGTTCGTATACCTAATATCATCCTTGCTATTTAATACTGTCTTGGCATTTTAAAGCAATTAGACATAGGAAGAGCTTACTGGAAAAAGAAGAAATTAGAACATGTGTTATAATACATTGTGAAAAGGATGTTTCTAACACAGTATACAGTATCATTTTAATGGTGATCCTCTCACTGAGGATTTTCCTACTTTCTGCACATACTGTTTTTTGATCTAGGATTATATTTATAATTATATAAATGAGAACTGCTTGAAATACATTTTAGAAATTCAGGATTCAATTTTCATAAAAAAGAAATAGTGCTAAATTGATTGCATTAAACATTGCTTAAAATCATGTTATGGCCAGGTGCAGTGGAGTTTGAGACCAGGCTGGGCAACATGGTGAAACCCTGTCTCTACTAAAATACAAAAAATTAGCCAGGTGTATTGGTCTGCACCTGTAGTCCCAGCTACTCATGAGGCTGAGGCAGGAAAATTTCTAGAACCCAGGAGGCGGAGGTTGCAGTGAGTTGAGATCATGCCACTGCACTCCAGCCTGGGCGACAGTGTGTCAAAAAAAAAAAAAAAATCATGTTATTACATATTTTTATTAAATCATGATTTGTATTTTATTACTCATTTCCTGGATTTCAATTGGAATGGATTCTTATGGCTGCTTTAGAATACAGCATATTGTAAGATAAAAGATATGTGATGTATTAATTACATCAACTAATTTTTAAAAATCATTTGTCTTTTGCAGTTTGATTACATGGGTTCTGATATAAACGCTGTGACACAGAAGGTTATTCAGATAATTGGTCTTGTTAACACTGTAAGTTTTTAAAAACTATTTTAAAATATATTTTATAAGAATAATGTGTATAATATTTGTGTTGTTGAAGAGTTTCCATAACCAAAGTACTGTATCATGTGTGTTATTATAAAATGTAATATAATGTTCAAGTTTGCCTAAAATTTTTAACTTATATTCTTTTAGATGCTTACCCAGTTACAACTGAATGTTATTATATCTTCCATTGAAATCTGGTCAAATAAAAACAAAATTGATACTACAGGGCATGCTGAAAATGTATTAGTACAATTTATTGAATGGAAAAAGGACCATCTTAACTTTAAACCACATCAAATTCCATACTTATTTGTGTAAGTGTAGTATTCTGCATTTTATTTTATTTTATTTTTTTGACCGCTGGCAGAAGGAAATTTATTGCTGACAGAAGAGACCAGCCTTTTGATAAGCAATTGTGTTTCAGTGTGAGGCAAACAAAAAGCACCTACAAATGCAGAGATAATGTGGTCGAGACACAGGATGGCTTCACCCACATCTTATTATTCACTAAATCAACAAAGAAAAACTCACTAAATACAATTGTAATAAAAAAAAGTCTACAGTGCTCTGAGCACGGCCACTGCTGATTGACAGCAAGCTTGTACTGCTCAGCACATTTGGCAGAGTCTTCTGTTGTGGACTTGACTTTATTTTATATAGTGTTTGACAGATGTCAGAAAAAAAGAACGCATTAAAATGACAGAAGCTGCATTTTATAACATTAAAGGAATAATTCGAAATGATTTAATATGATCAGTATGAAAAATCAGCATTTATTTTATATATATTGTGTTCTACACATTTAATATAGATACTGTGGAATGTGAAAAATGTAAGCAAGAGTACTTGTCCTCAAGGAGCTAATGTGAGATAAAACTGAAAATATTTTAGCAAATGACATAAAGTCATTAATAAAAGCAAAATTCCACAAAAACATATTGGAATAACTAAAAGTTTAATTATGAGTGCTACAATTTATTTGATTTCCTCTGGTTTATGAACCTTTACTCTAGATTATATTTCTACATTTGTGACTCACTTCTAGTTATTTCTTATGTTTATATTTTCTAATAAAATGAAGTGTTGAATTGTCATACTATCTAGAATTTAATATGCAGAAAAATTTGGTAAAAAATAAATAATAAATGAATAATAAGGTCATAGGAATTTAAAATTTCAGGAATATAAATATCGAGGATACCAGAATAAAAATGATAATTATTACTGCAATAGTATTTGCATAAATTATTAGGCCTTATCCTATTTCTGGATATTTATCAAATTCAAAAGTGAAAGTGTATATTGAAGTACTTTTCACATTGAAACTTTGAGAAAAATGTATTTAAATGGTATAATTTAAAGTAGCATGGTATTTGGGAGATAGTAGAGATAGTAATTGTTTGTTGATGTTTGCTGCTATGAAACTTATCAATAATAACCACTTTAAAATTCACTTATGGAAAAAGTTATTTTTCAGCTTCAAGAAAATTTCCACCTTCATAGGAGCCACATTTCCTGGACAAGTATGTAGTAAGGATTATGCTGCTGCAGTTGCTCTGGTGGGTAATTATCCGGTTTACTCTCAATACTTTCATGTTTCAAATTTTCCTAAATATTTTAAAACATGAATAAGTATATTACTTAGTTTCCTTATAATTTTATAGCTTTTATATTACGAATTTGGAGCATAATCAAGAGGTATGTTAGGAATGGGGCTAGAAGGAAGCAAATGAGCACATGATGCATTTCCATGAAGATTAAGGACATTTACTCCTGCTTAAGGAGTAATGTACATTCTCCAATCCCTTTTCTCCTGGGATGTGATTATATTTTTGTGAAATTACTTGCTGTCACCTTACAGGTCACTCTGTGTTCATTTTCACCACATTTTTGTTCTCTGTGCTTCACTTGAGATCTGACTTTAAGTAGAATTAATAATTCTACAACAATTTTAAATCTGCTATTAAGCAGACCAAATTTTTAAATTCTAGAGTATCTACTTGATGATTTTTTAAAAACCTTGTTAATTAAATCTTAAAATCACATAATTGAGGTATAATCAACATACACAGGCTGTACATATTTAATGTACACAACTTGCTGAGGTTGGAGGTAAATATTACACTTGTGAAACCATCACCGCAATAAATGCCGTAAGCATATTTGTCATCCCCAAAAGACTACCCTGCTTTCTACGCTTATTATTAGTAGTAGTATTTTGTCATAACATTTAATGGAGGTTCTATCCTCTTAGAATTTTTTTAAATTAAAATTTTATATTTTATTTTATATTCAGGGGATACACGTTATGGATATCTTATGTACTGGTAGGGATTGGGCTTCGCATGTGCCCATTACCAAACAGTGAACATTGTATCCAATGGAATTTCTCAGCCTGCACCCCACCTTCCACCCTCCTGCTAGTGTCTATTATTTCTATCTTTAGTCTATGTGTGCCCATTGTTAAGCTCACACTTATAAGTGAGAACATGTGATATTTGACTTCTTGTTTCTGAATAAGTTCACTTAAAATAATGACCTTCAGCTCCATCCATGTTGCCACCGAGAGCATGGTTTCACTCTTTTTTTTTTACGGCTGTGTGGAATTCCATTGTATGTAAATATCAAGTTTTCTTTATCCAGTCAACCATTGATGCACACTTAGGCAGGTTCCCTGACTTTGTTATTGTGAATAGTGCCATGATTAATGTATGAATACAGGTGTCTTTTTTTGTATATTGATTTATTTTCTTTTGGGTGGATAACCAGAGGTGGAATTGCTGGTAGTTCTATTTTTAATTCCTTGAGAAATCTCTCTACTGTTCTTCATAGAGGCTGAACTAATCTACTTTTCTACCAACAGATTATAAGGGTTCCCTTTTGACTGGGCATAGTGGCTCACACCTGTAATCCCAGCACTTTGAGAGGCCAAGGTGGGCAGATTGCCTGAGATCAGGAGTTCAAGACTAGTCTGGCCAACATGGTGAAACCCTGTCTCTACTAAACATACAAAAAAATTAACTGGACATGGTGCATGCACCAGTAATCCCAGCTGCTTGGGAGGCCGAGGCACTTCATTCCAGCCTGGGTGATAGAGTGAGAGTCCATCTCAAAACACAGAAATAAATAAATAAATAAATAAATAAATAAATAAATAAATGAAGGTTCCCTTTTCTCTGCCTTTGTGCTATCTGTTGTTTTTTGACTTTTTAGTAGCCATTTTGATTGATGTCAGATATCTCAGTGTGGTTTTAATTTGCATTTCTTGATAATTAGTGATATTCAACATTTTTTCATGTGTTGCCCACTTCTATTTCTTATTTTGAGAAATGCCTATGTTCTTTGTTCAAGTTTGAATGAGATTATTCATTTTTATCAAAATGTTGAATTATGTTTATTGATTTATGTTGAACCATCCTTGCATCCCTGAAATGATGCCCACAGATTGTGCTGTTGATCTGTGCTCTCTCCCTGGCCTGGGAGCAGCAGGGATGAAGGCAGCAATGGCAACAAGAGGAAAGGACTCATCAGCGACTTCTGGGAGTAGGGCAGTATATACCCTGTTGATACATGAAAGTTCCTGGCCTTTTTTGTTGACACAATGGTGTCAGCTGGCACCAGGCTCCTCAGCTCAGGCAGTGTGGCCATGACTGCTCTGGGCAGCCAAGTCACCATTTCCCTGGGAGGCAGAGTGTCACTTCAGCTCAGGCCCTGAGGGAGAGGCAGGGCACAGTAGGGACTAAAATGGGTAGACAAAGTAGCTCCATAGTGGCTTGGTCCTGCACGGAAGGGTATAGCAGCAGCTTGGCTCAGGGATGTTTCCAGACTAATCTGAGCTGGGAGATACAGTCAGGGAGGCAAAGTGTTTTCTTCTGTTTTCTCTGTGGCTATCCTGGGTTTCTATGTGTTTTTGTTTGTTTGGTTGTGATGTAGTCTTGCTCTATCACCCAGGCTGGAGTGCAGTGGTGCAATCTCAGCTCATTGCAACCTTTGCCTCCCAGGTTCAAGCAGTTTTCCTCAGCCTCCTGAGTATCTGGGATAACAGGCATGCACCATCACACCTGGCTCATTTTTGTATTTTTAGTAGAGATGAGGTTTTACCATGTTGGCCAGGCTGGTTTCAAACTTCTGACCTCAAGTGATCCACCCATGTTGGCCTTCCAAAGTGCTGAGATTATAGGCATGAGCCACCACGTGTGGCTTATCCTGAGTTTCTGTACTACCCAGGGTTTCTGCTCTCCTTTGATATACTTGGCACCTCATTTAGTTATTTTCACCAAAATGCAGTTGCTTATTCATTGTTTTGACTGTCTTTATAGGGGGGACAAGTAGTAGGGACTTTCAGTTAGCCATCTTGCTGCTCTTACTTTCCTTCCAATATCTTTTCTAAAAAATTTCTTTTTAATTTTCACTACTATTTGTTTAAATTTGTGTCCCTTTACCATTCTGGTTCATTCCTTCTGATTTCTGTTTGTATGTTTTTCAGTTTACTTTCCTCATAGGACTTTCACTTATCAAATGCTATATAAGTCAGGGCAAATTAAGAAAACAGATACTACACTAGGTATTTCAAAAGGATTTAGAAAGAGAATTATGCAGGTATTTCACGTCTAAAAAAGTCAAAAGGGAATAATGAGTTAACAGAGAGATAATAAAAAGATCAGCTACCACTCCAGAACTAAGGAAAGATTGGGGTTCCCAAAATTGAGGTCAGAAGAGGAAACATCCAGCTGTTTAGGTCTCTGGAGGAAGGAGTACTGCCTTGAGCTACTGCTACATTCAAGGGGCATAAATAGGTGAACTTTGATAGTACTGGAAGAAGTTGGAGTCAGGAAACTATTGATCCTTGAGTAAACTACAAATACTGTAATAAACTTCCACTTTAGGAGCAAAATGGTGCTGATTGGGCCATGCTGACAGAAACAGCAGTCCATGGGAAAAAGAAATCCACTTCTTTCTTCTAACTGCAGATAATTTGGTAATAAAAAAAATATGGGAACTATAGTTTGCAGATTCTTAGTCCTACAATGTTATAGCAGAGTATAGAAGAGTAGATTTGAAATTCATTTTGTTGTTTTTTATGGTTCTTGCACTCATCTGTTATATCATTTTAACTAATGAGAATCCCTAAAATATGAGGGAAAAAAAGAGGCTTCTATTTCCTCTAACGAATAGTAGAGGGAACAGGGATCTACCAAAATTTGGTAAAAATATAGCTTTTCCTACAATTTATTCCTTGCTTCTGTCCTTATAATTTCTTTTGATCAAAACCTGGGATGGAGAAGGAGGGATTGCTTACATTCAAGCAGGAAGTGAAAATTACTCTTTTTTAAAGGTGTACTGAAACATTTGATGCATTACTTTATTGTTATGTTGGCCATACTGTTTCTCTCCCCATTAGTGAACAATAAGCAACCCAGGGCAATATGGAGAACAAAAATTTAGAAACATCTCCGTGGATATTGGCCATCTTCTCTGAAATACTCTTATCACTCCCTCACTGTAATTTTTCCCTTACTTCTGGGTCATCAGAAACCAATTACTTTTTTACATTGCAATATTAAATATTTTTCTTCTGTGATGTTGTCGCTTTGTATTTTGGATGTTCAGTGGCCCACATTATTTTGCTATGTGGTAGGAAGATAAATTGATTTTGTTGGAAGTACTTAAATATGCAGAGTGAGGACATGCAAGTAACTAAGGCAAATAATGACTCAGTTATTCCAAAATGTTTTCAATTTTACCTACAACTTCAAAATAATTTGTAATTACTTAGAAACAGATGATAGCTGTGTTCTTTCTCCTATATAACAAGACTTTAATTGTCTTCTGAATTGCCATCTGAGCAGGACTCTTAAAGGAAAACATAAACATTGGAAATGATGTACAGGAGAACAATAATACCTATGAGGATGTATTATTTATCTCTTGTGATGTAACAGATCATACCAAAACTTGGCAGATAAAAACAATGCAATTCTGTAGGTTAGGAATCTAGGAGAAATTTAGTGGGTGGTTCAAACTCTAGATTTCCAACAAAGGCTAAAATCAAGGTGTCATTAAGTGCTGGAGTTATCTCAAGGTTTGACTGGTGGAGGGGGATATGCATTCAAGCTTAAGTTATGTGACTGTTGGCAGATCTCAGAAAGTCTGCTTCCAAGATCACTTATATGGGCTTCTCTCCAAGTTCACCTTAATGATATTGTCATTAAGTTTTGAAACTTAATATAACTATTATGTGAACTCATTCATGTTTAATAAATCTATCATCAAAAAGTTTAATAACTACTAATTTTTGATTCAGTAAATACTGTTTTATTTTAGAACTGATTATAATTATTAGTTAACTTTTTCTTTTTCTTTATGTTTAGTATTCAGAAGGTTTAACCTTGGAGTCATATACTGTCATTATTGTGCAATTGCTTGGCCTTAATCTGGGATTAACTTATGACAAGACTGACACCTGCCATTGTTCAGGAGATGTTTGCACAATGACACCAAAAGCAGTGTAAGAATTTTCTTTATTAAATAGACATGTTATTTCTTTCTTTAATTTTTTTCTCTTTCCAACTTTTTTAGAAAAAATTTTGTATGTACATAGTAGGTGTATGTAGTTATGGGGTACATGAGATGTTTTGATACAGGTATGTAATGTGAAATAAGCACATCATGGAAAATGGATACCCCATTTTTATATTCCTTGTATTACAAACAATCCAGTTACACACTTTATTTTAAAATGTATAATTACGTTATTATTCATTGTCATCACCCTGTAGTGCTATCAAATAGCAGGTCTTATTCATTCTTTCTGTTTGTTTTGTACCCATTAATCATCCCCACGTCTCTATAGCACTCTATGACCCTTCCTAGCCTCTGGTAACCATCCTTCTACTCTCTATTTCCATGAGTTTTGATTAGTAGATCCCACAAATAAGTGAGAACATCTAATGTGTGTCTTTCTGTGCCTGGCTTATTTCAATTTCACTTAATATAATGATCTCCAGTTCCATCAATGTTTTATTTTTAATTATGTACATAATAAATATATAAATCCTAAAGATTTATGATATAGGTATGATATTTTGATCCAAGCATACAATATGTAATGATCAAATTGGGGTTATTAGGATTTCCATTACTACAAGCATTTATCAATTCTTTGCATTAGGGACATTCCAGTTCCACTCTTTTAGTTATTTTGAAATATGCAAGAAATTATTGTTAAGTCACCTTGTTCTGCTAATGAACACTAGATCTTATTCCAAATAGATTCCATCTTATTCTATTTGGAATAAGATCTAGTGTTCATTAGCAGAATAAAGTGTATTTTTGTACTCATCAGCAATTCCCTTTCTACCTCCCCCTCCAACCTTCCCAGCCTCAGGTAACCACCATTCTATTTTTTATCTCCCTGTATTCAATTTCTTTTAGCTCCCACATTTGAGTTAGAGCATGTAATGCTTGTCTTTTTGTGCCTAGATCATTTTACTTAACATTACATCCCACAGTTTCATCGATGTTGTTGAAAATGACAAGATTTCATTCTTTTTTATGGCTGAATAAAATCCTACAGTGTATATATACAATATTTTCTTTCCAGATTCATCCATTGATGGACACTTAGGTTGGTTTTATATCTTTATTGTGAACAGTGCTACAATAAAATGGGCATGCAAATATCTCTTCAATACATTGATTTTTTTTCTTTTGAATATACTTCTAGTGGTGAAATTGCTGATTGATATGGTAGTTGTATTTTTAGTTATTTGAGAAACATTTATAGTGTTGTTCATAATGGCTGTACTTACCTTCCCACCAAGATTGTATGAAGGTTCCTTTTCTCCACATCCTCGCCAGCATCATTCTTGTCTGTCTTTTTGTTAAAAGCCAGTTTAACTGAGGTGAGATGATATCTCATTGTAGTTTTGATTTGCATTTATCTGGTGATTGGTGATTTGCAGCAATTTTTTCCATTTGTATGTCTTTTAAGAAATGTTTATTCAGATCTTTTGCCCATTTTAAAATCAGATTATTTGTTTCTCTGCTATTGAGTTGTTTGACTTCCTTATATATTCTGGTCATTAAACCCTTATTAGATGGGCAGTTTGCAAATATTTTCTCCATTCTGTAGCCTGTTCACTATACATTGGTTATTAAGCTCTTGTTAGATGGATAGTTTGAAAATATTTTCTCCCATTCTGTAGCCTGTTCACAATCAACAGTCACTTTGCCGATTGTTTATTTTGCGGTGCAGAAGCATTTTAGCTTGATGTAATCGTATTTGACCATTTTTGCTGTGGGTGCCTGTGCTTTTGAAATCTTACTCAAAAAATCTTTTTTCAGATGAATTTCCTGGCATATCTCCCCAATGTTTCTTCTGTAATTTTATAGTTTCAGGTTTTAGATTTAATTGATTTTGATTCAATTTTTTATATATGGCAATAGAGAAGGGTCTAGTTTTATTCTTCAGCATGTAGATGTCCAGTATTCTCAGCATCTTTAATTGGAGACATTGCTTTTTCCCCAGTCTATGTTCTTGGAGGCTTTATCAAAAATTAATTGATCATAAATGTGTGGATTTATTTCTGGATTCTCTATTCTTTCCATTGATGTACATGTCTGTTTTATGATAGTGCTGGATTTTTTTTGCTACTATAGCTTCGTAGTATAATTTGAAATCCAGGGATGTGAATTCTCCAGTTTTGTTCTTTTTGTTCAGGTGGCTTTGGCTATTCTGGATCTTTTGTAGTTCCATATAAATTTTATGTTTATTTTTTCTATTTCTATGAAGATTGTCATTGCTGTTTTGACAGGTAGACTGCTTTGGGTTATATGCACATTTTAACAATATTGATTCTTCTAATTCATGAACATGGCATGTCTTTCCATTTTGTGTCTATGTGTCCTGAACACTCGTATTTCTATTAATCAAACTAAAGTTGTTGGCAATTATATAACACTACACCAAAAAATTGCAGAATACACCCTCTTTGCAAGTGCAAATGGAGCACATACAAAAATATTTCTAGCACTCTCTCTGGCCTCTCCATGCCTGGAAAGCCCTTTCGCCTTACTATTTTTAGAATATGGATTATAGTTTGTTTTTCTTTTGGCCAGCTCAAGGGCACTTTCTATGAATGGGGCATATGAATTGCCTATTTTTAGTGATTCTAAAACATCTAAATACTGATAAATATAAAACATTAATAAAAGAAAATGAAGAAGACAAAAATAAATAGGTAGTACATGTTTATGGATTGGAAGAATTATCTTATTAAAATATTCATAATTATTGATCTACAGGTTTAGTGCAATTTCTATTAAAATTTTATTGTCATTTTTCACAGAAATAAAACAAAAATTATAAAATTTGTATAGAACCACAAAAGACACTGGATAGCCAAAGCAATCTGGAACAGAAAGAACAAAGCTAGAGGTATCACAATACCTGGTTTCAAAATCTATTACAAACATATAGTAATCACAACAGCATGATACTGGCATAAAAACAGACAAATTGACCAAGGGAACAGGATAGAAAGCCTAGAAGTAAATCCACGTCTCAAGGTCAATTTATTTTTGACAAAGTTGCCAACAGAACACAATGGGGAAAGGACAGTCTCTCCAATAAAAGATGCCGAGGAAACTAATACATGGTGCTATGTTAACATTGAGAAGAATGAAATTGAGCCCTTATCTCATACCACATGAAAATAAACTCAACATGCATTAAATGCAAAAGCATGAGATCCGAAACTCTAAAACTACCAGAAAAAAACAAAGGGGAAATCTTGACATTGATCTGGGTAATGATTTTTAATATATGACCCAAAAAGTACAGGAAACGAAAGCAAAGATAGACAAAGAGGATTACATCACACCAAAGGAAAGAACTAACAGAGTGAAAAGACAGCCCACAGACTGGGAGAAAATATTTGCAAACCATGCATATGATAAAAGCATAATATCCTAAAATACATAACACAGTCTCAACAGCAAGAACATATACAAGCCAATTTAAAAATGGGCAAAGGACCGGAATATACATTTCTCTGAAGAAGACATACAAATGATCAACAGACTTGTAAAGAAATAGTCAACATCAGTAATAATTAGAGAAATGGCACCTAAGATAGCACCTCATGCCTGTTAGAGTTGCAATTCTCAAAAAGAAGACACATATGTGTTGACTAGGATGAAGAGAAAAGGAAACACTTATACTCTGTTCATGGGGATATAAATAATACAACCATTATGAAAAACAATATGGAAATTCCTCCAAAATGCTAAAAGTAGAATATCATATGATTCGGCAATCCCACATCTGGGTATATATTAAACATAATTAAAATCAGTGTGTTGAAGAACTATTCACATTCCCATGTTCATTGCAGTTATTCACAAAAGCCAAAATATGGAAGCAACCCAAGTGTCCATCGGTGGATGAACTGATAAAAACTTGTGGTTGTCCTAGTTCATTTTATGCTCCTATATCAGAATACTCAAGACTGTTAATTTATTTTTTAAAAAACCCAATATTTATTTGGCTGACCATTCTGGAGTTTGAGAAATCCAAGGTTGAGAAGCCTGGATCTGGTGAGAGCCTTCTTTCTCCATCCTGCTGTACAGGAGGAAGGGCAAGAGAGCACAGGTGCATATATAAGAGGAGCTGAACTTGGTTTTATAGCTAAACCACTTTTCATGATAACCATGACAGTCCATACAGGACATGCATGATAGAAGCATTCTCAAAGATTAGTTCTCATGGCCTAGTCATCTCTGAAAGGTCTTACTTCCCAATACTGTTGCATTTATTGGGTATTAAAATTGGCACATGAATGTTGAGGACACACTCAAACTATAGCATTTCACCCTAACCCCGCAAATTCACATTCTTCTCACAATTCAAAATACAATCATTTCATCCCAATAGCCCCCAAAATCTTCCTGTAGCATCAACTCAAAAGTCTGAAGTTCAAATTCTAGTTCAGATGAGGATAAAACTCTAGGCATGGTTTATCCTGAGGCAAATTCCTCTCTAGCTGTGAGCCTATGCAATCACTAAGTTGCATTGTTTTTTGGTGCTTCCAAAATACAATGGTGGGACAGACACAATATAGACATTCCCATTCCAAAAAGGAGAAATAGGCAGGAAGAAAGGGGTAACTGGTTTCACATAACTCCAAAACCCAACAAGGAGAAAGAACACTGGCTTAAACCTGGAGAATAACCTCCTTTGACACCATATCCTACATCCTGGGCACACTTGAGTGGAGGTTGAGTCTGCAAAGCCTCAGGATTCTTGCTCTTTTTTGGGCTTAGTCCACCCAACAGCTTTCACAGGTTGGAGTCTCATGCCTGCATCTCTCCCAGACTGAGCTTGCAAGCTGGTGGCTTTAAAGTTCTGGGGCCTCAGGGGCTTTCCCACTCTCATGGATTCACTAGGCATTTCCCTAGTGGGAACTCTCTGTGATGGTCTCACTTTTACAGCCTTGTTGGATTTTGCTCCAATGGGAGCTCTCTGCAGTGGCTCTATACCTGTGAGAAGTCTCTACTTGGGCTCCCAGGCTGTTGATGACATTGTTTGAAAACATCTAGGTGGAGGCCACCGTGGCCCTGCAACTCTTGCGTTCTGCAGGTCTGCAAAGTTAGCATTGTGTGGACATTGTCAAGGCTCACCACATGCGCCTTTTGGAGAGGTGGCTGAGCCACACCTGGGCCCACTTGAGTAATGGATGGGGAAGCTGAGAAGCACTGTGCCAGAATGCAGAGCTCAAGGCAGTGAACCTGTGGAGCCCACACCAGGCCTGTTCATTGAAACCATTCAGCCCTTCTAGAGCTCTAAGCCTGTGGTGAGATGATAGGAAAGGCACCCTCAGAGATCTCAGAAACAGCTTCAGGATCATTCTGTTGTCTTCCTGGTTAACCTGGATAGAAACTGGAATGTCAGGAGAGCACCTTCCTTGGTAGGTTGCTATCAGCAGAGATTCTAATTGATTTCCTTGATTGGTGGTGCCATGTTCATCTGGTGTTTTCAGCAAGATTCCTATTAGATCTTGGTGAGGAGTGAGTCTACTCAGACTACCTTGGGTTATCCTTTTGTGTTTCTGAAAACATTAAGCCTGGGTCATTGACTTTTGTTGAGTTCAGAGATATGAGATTCACAGCTATTATGCCATTCTTCTGGTCCTGGGAATACAAACCTGTTTACCTCTCTCTTCTCACTTTTCAAGATTCTCCTTAAGTTGCTCTTTGCATTAGTTCCAGATTTTATACATGTACTTAGTGAGAAGCAGGAAAAAACTAAGTCTATGCCATTTTGTCTGGATGAGAAGTCTATAACATTATTTGAAAAATGTTTATGGAAAGCAAAAGCTCTGAAATAAGTTATCAAAGTTAATAATAGCATTTTTATGTTGGCATTTATAGAAACAGTACAAAAATAAAATTAGAGAAAAATATATTGAATATTGCAGCCAAAATTTTAAATTCAGTTGTTTGGTACTAGGAAGATAAATAATAACATAATTGCTATGTTTAAACATTTAAAGTCATAAGATAGGTATAAGTGGCTTTCAAAAAGTTCATGGAAAATGTGTATTATAAAAAACTACACATGATTAAAATTTTTTGGCACCAAAATAACTTATATCAAGTGGTCATAACGTGTCTGAATGAGATCTAGTTTGAGACATATGGAAGGATAAGACATCAGATTTAAAAGGGCCCCTATCAGAACTACATGAATTCTGCTCAAACTGAAGCAAAAGTAAACATCAATTTACAGGGAAGCTTTGGTGGAAAAATGGTGAAATCACTGATGCTTTACAAAAGTCAATGGATACAGTGCCCCAAAGTAATTAGCAGTTTACAAATGGTTAAAACTCCCTTTCTGTTTGTTTGTTTTGTTTGAGATGGATTGTCACTCTGTTGTCAGGCTGGAGTGCAGTGGTGAGATCTTGGCTCACTGCAACCTTCGCCTTCCAGGTTCAAGCGATTCTCCTGCCTCAGCCTCCCAAGTAGCTGATACAACAAGGCACGTGCCACCATGCCTGGCTAATTTTTGTATTTTTAGTAGAGACAGGGTTTCGCTCTGTGGGCCAGGCTGGTCTCGAACTCCTGACCTCAGGTGATCCACCTACCTCGGCCTCCCAAAGTGCTGGGATTATAGGTGTGAGCCACTGTGATTGGTCAAACTCCTTTTAAGAAGGGATGAGACAGTGTTGGTGATGAAGCTTGCTGTAGCAGACAGGCAACATCAGTTTACAAGGAAAAACATTTATCTTTGTGCTGTCATTGAAGAAGACTGACAACAGCAATAGTCAACATCATAGACATTTCAATTAGTTCAGCTAACACAATTCTGACTGAAAAATTAAAGGTGAACAAATTTTCCACTCAATGGATACCAAACTCATTGTGTCCAGATCAGCTACAGATAAGAGCAAAATTTTGATGGAAAATTTTTTGAAGCAATTTTGGAAATATAAAAATAAAACTAGTGAATTTTGCAAGTCATTGGATACACAATCGGTATATTTTTATAACAGTGAATTGGACTTCTGTATATTGGTAACAAACAGAAAATGAGATAAAAGCTACAATTCTACATACAATGTTTCCCAAAACAGAAATTATACAGATATAACTTCAATAAAGTATATGCAATTGTGTACAAGTAAAAATTAAGATTCTGAAATATTTCTTTGAAGAATTGCAACAGGAGGGGGAAGAGCTTTACCAGCACGATCATGAAGATAAAGCACAATCAAAAAAATAGCTACCAAGAGGTGGACGTGGTCCAGCTAAAGTAAAACTAGACCAGTTAAAAGCATATGTCATGGCAAAAGTTTTAGGATGCTGAAGATATTTTGCTTGTTGACTTTCAGGATGGCTAAAGAATAATATCTGCCAACTAGGAGGCATCCATCTTATATTCTTGATTTGGCTCCTTCTGTCTTCTATTTGTCTCCTAATCTTAAAAGCTCTTTAAAGGGCACTCATCTTTCTTCAGTTAATAATGTAAAAAAGGACTGAATTGACCTAGTTAAATTTCCAGGATCCTCAGTTATTTAGGGCTGGACTAAACAGTTGATATCATTGCTTACAAAAATGTCTTGAACTCTGTGTTGAGAAATAAAGTTTATATATTTATTTTCATATTTTAACTTTGTATTTTTATGAACTTTTAGAGGTCCTCATATCTATATTGGATCTTGCATAAAACAAGATGTATGACTAAAAAGAATTTTGTCATATATGTATATATATACATATATGTATATATACATATACATATGTATACATATGTATATATACATATATGTATATATACATATACATATGTATATATACATATATGTATATATACATATACATATGTATATATGTACATATATACACATATATATTTATTTTAATATATATATTTTTCTTGGTGGAGTTAAAAATATGTTAAAACATATTAATAATGTAATAAGTATGTTTTAAGATTTGCTAAGTGTTTTCTATGAAGACTAATGCTCTTTAAAATCTCTCCTTAAAGCACCATATTATGGGATATATAAAAATATACAACAAAAATTTGTGTCATATTCATATTTTTATATTTTAGGCACTCTGGCGGTGTAAAGGATTTTAGCATCTGTAGCTTGGATGACTTTAAATATATTTCTTCACATAGTGACCTTACATGTCTTGAGAAAGACCATCTTGAAATGCCAACCTACACATCAATAAAAATATGTGGCAATGGAGTGGTGGAAGGAGATGAGGAATGTGATTGTGGCACTAAACAGGTTAGTAGAATTTTTTTCTACAATTTAAAAAATGTTCTGGTAGTAAAGAAGATAGATACCTTATCTATTAGTAAAATAGATTTGAAAAATACATTCTTTGTAAAAGATAGGGGCCTTTGTTTTTTAATTTTATTATTTTTGGAAGCATGGAGCAAAGGTCTTAGATAATTTTTGTCTTCAGTTATGTCTTCTGACATTATTTAGTGTATATATTAGCTCAAAATTTAAATATAATGGCCACAAAGAGTTATCTCAGGGATTGAAGGAATATGCCCTCAACAACAAGCAGAAATAAAAACAAGCAATGACACCTAAAGACAGTAGATTATAACCAATGGGGTAGAAAAATGCATGGTTTGCTAATATAGGTGAAAACATTTTCTATGGAAAGGTGATTTTAATCAAAATATTTTGAAATTAAATCTATTATAATTATAAAAATATAAAACTAAGATCAAACAAAAATAATTATAAAAGATGATAAAGGGATATCAGCAAGATAGCTCATTAGACAGTACTAGAGGCACCTAATGCTGCTCTCCCACTACAAGAAAGGACCAAAACAATGGATAAACAGCTACATTTGACCGGAGTGACTTACATGGAGTGCTGAAGTACAGGAATGAAGTAGTGAAAACCCTGTGGAGCACAGAAACTCAGAATGGCTGCCTAGAGAAAAGAAGGAAACACTGTGGTTATTCCAAGATAAGCACATAATGATTAAAGAACAAGAAGTAAAACTCAGTTTGATCTAGAAATATAGAATATTAGGCAATCTACAAAATAATAAAACTAGTGACTCTTTCAAGTCATTGAATACAAAAATCAATATATAACAATGAATTGGATTTCTGTGTACAAACAACAAACACATAGAAAATGAAATCAAAGGGACAATTACATACACAATGTTTCCCAAAACATGATGAATATAGATAAAATACATTTAATTGTTGACAATAAAAATGAAAATTACTCAGGAAAAGAAAAAAACATTGAAATAAATGGAGACATAACCCACTTTTATGGATTGGTAGACGTAATATTGAGATTTCAGCTCTACACAAATGGATCCATACATTCAACACAGCACCAACCAAAATCCGCTCATCTTTTTTTGTAGAAATTGACAAGCTGATTCTACAATTGATATGGAAATGTAAATGACCTAGAATAAACAAAGCCATGAAAAGAAAATAAATTGGAGCACATATACTAATTTTCTATAAATGTCAAAATTTTCTGTAAAGTTATAATAATGAAGACAAGGTAGTATTGACCAAAAGTTAAATATGTGCAATTAATACGGTAAAACAGAGAATCCAGCTATAAGATGATATTTGTATGGCCACTTTATATGGTTGGACATAGAGCTATTTAATTGGTGAAGAAAATCTTTCTAACAAAATTGTAAGAACTAAACATATGTGTAAATAAAATAAAACTTCATCTCTCACCATACACAAAAAATTAACTTGAAATAAATCAAAGGCCTAAAATTTAGAACTAAAGCTCCAAAACTTTTGGGATAAAATATATGAGACAATCTTTGTGATTGGTGGTAGGCAAAATTTTTTAGATATGTCAAAGAGAAGGAAGTTTAAAGAGAAAAATAGTTGTATTTTCTCAAATTTAGAACCTTTTTCACTTAGACTCTGATAAAAATAAAATGACAAGCTCCAGAATGTGATAAAATATGCATAAGTTATATATTGGCAAATGACTTTTATTCAATTATTTTAAAAGACAAGACTCAGTTTCTAGTCAGGCATCTAAGACTCTTGGAAGTTGCAACTCCAATCTATCAACAAGTAAAAAGCTGAACAAATAAAAAAATTAGCAACTCTTTTCAGATCTGTCAGAGAAGTGAGATCACAGGATGAACCACTGTTCCCAAATTCAATAGCCCAACAAGTGAATACAGAGAACCACAACTTGCTAGAGCAGAAGCACGTGAGCTAAACTTTCACACAGCCAGTGGTGGAGTAGAAAAGCCTAAACTAAAATTAACAAATTGCCAGAGGCTCTGTGTATACAACTATGAGAGTTAAAAACTCTAGAAGGACCCATTATTCAGGATGTTCTCATACTTTTACAAGCTTTACCTCTAGGAGTTTAATCTTATTCTCACAGTGAATATCAGAGAAAAATTCCCTTGTGCTTCCAGAAGGAGGAAGAGAAAAGGAACCATTCTGAAATAAACCAGAGCATTCAGTTCTTCTTACCAAGAAGAAATGAAAGGGAGAAATTACCATTAGTATGTTACTATAAATTACACTATCCCTGAAGTGGAATAGTGTTATTTGAAAGTGTACTTGGATTAATTGTAAATGTATATTTTCATCTCTAGGGCCACCATTAAAAAAGTTTTAAAAAAGTATAACTGATACACTAAGAAAAGATAGAAAATAGCACTGTAAAATGCTCAGTTAAACACAAAAGGCAGGCTGAGCATCATGATGTACCCCTGTAGTTTCAACTACTTGAGAAGATGAGGTGAGAGGATTCCTTGAGCCAAGGAGGTCCAATCAGCCTGAGCAATGCAGTGAGATCCTCTCTCTAAAAAGAAATAAAAAAGGAAAAGAAAAAAGAAGACAAACACAGGGACACAAAGTCACACAAATAGAAAACAGTAATGAATATAGTAGTTATTAATTCAACTGTATTTATTATCACTTTGCTTTCAATGAATTAAGTGCATCAATTTAAAAAATAAAAAAGATTATCAGAATGAATAAAAAACCAAGATCTAGCTATATATTGTGGTGGTTAATACCAAACATCATTTGGTTGGATTGAAGGCTGCAAAGTATTGTTTCTGGTGTGTCTGTGAGGGTGTTGCCAAAAGAGATTAACATATAAGTTAGTGGACTGGTAAAGGCAGATCCACCTTTAATCTAGGTAGGCACCATCTAATCAGCTGCCAGCATGGTCAGAATAAAAGCTGGCAGAAGAACGTAGAAAGGCTAGACTGACTGAGTCTTCTGGCTTACTTCTTTCTCCCATGCTCAATGCTTCCTGTCCTTGAACATCAAACTCCCAAGTTTTTCAGATTTGAGACTCTTGGACCTTCAACCACAGACTGAAGCCTGCACTATTGGATGCCATACTTTTGAGGTTTTGGACTGGCCTCCTTGCTCCTCAGCATTCAGATAGCCTACTGTGGAACCTCACCTTGTGATCATGTGAGTCAACACTCTTTAATAAACTCCCCTTTATATGTACATCTGTCCTATTAGTTCTGTCCCTCTATAGAACTCTGACAAATACAGTTGTCTACAAGGAGCCCTCTTTAGTATAAAGATACACTTTAAGTAGATTAAAGAATGGCTAAAAACATACTATGCTAATAGTAATAAATCCTGGAGTAGCTATATTAATTTCAGACAAGCAGTCTTCAGAGTAAGGAAAGTTTTCCTGGATAAAGAGGGACAATTATAATGATAAAGGGGTCAATTCTGCAAGAAGAGATAACAATTTTTAATGTGTATATGACTAAAAACAGAGGGTCAAAATGCATGAGGTAAAAATAGATAGAACTGTAAGGAGACATAGATGAGTCTACTATTATAGTTGGAGACTTCAGCAGTCCTCTATCAGAAACAGACAGATCCAGCAGGCAAAAAATCATTAAGGACATAGTTGAACTTAACAATAACTTTAACCAACTGGATATAGCAGACATCTATAGATGACTTCATCCAACAGCAAAATAATACAACTTTTTTCTCAAGGGTATATTGAACATTTATCAAGACAGACCATGTTCTGAGCCACAAATCACCACTTAACAAACTTAAACAAATAGATATCATAAAATGTCTGACCTCAGACCACAGTGAAAACGAACTAGAAATTTGTAACAGATTGCTGGAAAGTCCCAAATACTTGGAGATTAAAAAACATGTTTCTAAATAACACATGGGTTATAGAAGAAATATCAGGAGAAATGTAAAAATAGTTTGAACTGAATAAAAATGAATACACAATTATCAAAAGCCATGGTATTGAGCAAAAACAGTGCTCAGAGTAAAATTTATAACATTGGTTACATGTATTAGAAAAGAAAGTGGATCTAAAATCAACAGTCTAAGCTGCCATCTTAAGAAACCAATTAAAGGGGGTTAGGATCCATATGGCCAAATAGGAACAGCTCTGGAGTGCAGTTCCCAGCGAGAACAATGTAAAGGGTGAGTGATTACCACATTTCCAAACAAGTTTTGACTGCCCACAGACCAGGAGATTCCCAAGCTGAAAAGCACCATGAGTTTGCAGCATAGCTGTTTCAGCTGATGCAATGGGTCTCCGTGCAAAAACTCACACAAATCTGGGTGGCCATTTCATCTGGTTCCTGGAATGCCTAGGAGACAGTTGCCCATTCAACTGAAAAGAAGGGGGCTGAAACAGGGAGCCTGGTAATCTGGCTTAGCGGGTCCCATCCCCACAAAGGCCAGCAATCTGAAACACCCTGGATTGAAAGTTTTGCATCAAGTGCAGCTGGACCTGGGACGGTCCAGCTCTGTAGGAGGAAGGACATCTGCTATTACTGAGGCAGTTGACCACTACCAAGGCAGTCCACTATTACCAAGGCAATCCACCGTTACTGAGGAAGTCCACTATTACAGAGGGAGTCCACCATTACTGAGGCAGCCAACCATTACTGAGGCAGACCATCATTACTGAGGCAGTTCTAACTATACCTCTATAAATAAAACCACAAGGAAGTTCACACAGCAGCTGGGAGGAGCCCATGACAGCTCAGCAATGCCTCTGCTGGCAGACTGTGACTAGGCTACCTCCTTGTTGGGCAGGGCATTTCTGAAAAAAGGCAGCACTATGTCAGGAACCTATAAATAAAGCCCCACCTTCCCAGGACAGAGCACCTGGGAAAAAAGTTGGTTATGAGTTCCACTGCAGCAGACTTAAATGTACCTACACAGCAGCTCTGGTTGGAACAATGGAGCTCACAGCTCAGCTTGTGAGCTCCTAGAAGGGACAGA